GAACTGAATAGGTGCATTAAAGGATTGCGATTAAACCTGTCAATTTTAAACTGAATCATTTACGGAAGTCACAATATTGCCCAGGTATAACTTATGCGAGATACAGTGAATTGAATATTGTACAGTATATTTGTATATGTTTTAACACGATATATACGTGCATATGTCCATATAAATAATGCTAGCGAGAAGGCCATGATACGAATACAGTATCCAAGCCTTACTGTACGATACAGTACAGCATGCGTGTATTCAATAAACGTATATATAGTATATACGTATTTCATACTCTTATGTGGTACGCACAATAATGTCACATACGATTTTCAAGATCACTTTTTTGCAAGTGCCGTCTTTCATGATTATACTGTATTGTCGTTTAGCAGTCGTGTTAACGCTAAAATCATTTTCCTTAAAATCAATCTGTCAGGCTGAAATTTTAAAATTCAGTGATGCAAAATTTCTTGCCGTAATTCAGTTTGCATGCATCATGGAGATCAATTTCATGCTCCTTGTGTTGGACCCCATTACAGTACACAGTATATATCTAATATAATCATGTTCTATTACAGTAAAATCGACCCCTGAAGTCATATATAGAGGACCAATGAAATACTTGCAATATACTTAATTCGACCATTTTAATACAATGGTAGTAATAATACGAATAATAGTCGGATCAAATTGCGCCACATGTTTTTTAACATCTTTGAAAAACGCTTTGTCAAGTTGACACTTTCTTTTAGCCGCATGTCCAATTTACTGTTCAATTGTTTGACTATGATATATTAAATCACCCTTGCCTTCACCACATAAACGACTTACAGCCATTATTTTGTATACTCCATTATTTTGTATACAGCCATTATTTTGTGGCCGTATTAATGAGTGGGGGGACATCAAAAGGTGGTCGTTGGTCATATTAGTAAGGTGGTCGTATTAGCGGGGTCTTCAGATGAAAAATACTAAAATACTTATATATAGGTGTTGTTCGGGGAAATGAAAAGTGGTTGTATTATCGGGATGCTCGTATTAACGATCGGGGGTCGTATGGCCGGGTTCTAGTACTACTGTCAATGTACAAATTAGATTTGTATATTTTCATTGTTATTAGTGTAGTTTAATAACTTCATCATCAAAATTTACAGCAGATGATTGGTGAGCAGACAGAGGGGTACATCCTCGGGTAGAAGAATTTGCATCACAGACTACGTCATCAGTTAGTTATAGCGATTAGTTTTGAGGTAAGGGTTAGGGTTAGGGTGAGGGTTAGGGTTAGGGTGAGGGTTAGGGTAAGGATTAGAGATAGGGATTTGGTTATATCTGACACCACAAACAACACAACTAGCCGATCACGTGATCACTTCTCCTCTACCCGAGGAACTACCCAGACAGAGCGTAGCCCCAATTGAATCTGCCTACCATAATTATGAACGAATAACTTACATTATAGTACAAATTTACAACTAAAATTAAAGAACTCCTATAGAAAATGCAGGAAATAAGATTAAAATTAAAGGATTAAAAGCCAAAGAGATAAAATTACGCATCTTTAATTTAGTCTTAAATCTCTCGCTATTATACAGTGCATCACGAGGGAATTGAACCCCCAACAGGAAATATTTCCTGGCCAACCATGGTAATGCGAAAAAAGAAGATGCTGCGCTGAGTGGTTATATTACTACCTTAAACAACAAGCAGAAACTCGACGTTTCGAGCGAAGGGCCTTCGCTCGAAACGTCGAGTTTCTGCTTGTTTTTTAAGGTAGTAATATAACCACTCAGCACAGCATTTTCACATTGGCACTATACCCACACTGGTACAGACAGTTTTAGTACAAAAAAGGAAGAGCCAGGTTGAAATAAAAAACGATCTGTTATCCTTCCGAATGTTTTTAAACCGTTATTACTATACTTTTTATCGTGTAACAACAAACAAAATTAAGAGTTTATTATTTAAGAAAGAAAAATCAGGAATTTCGCACGTCACTATGCATGAAATAAGAAAAATAAATTATGGGTTCTGCTAAATCTACTGCAGTGCAGTTTTTACTCGCATTAACCACACAAATAATCTATTGTTTGAAAGATCAAACAGAAAAGGACAGACTTTAGAATAAGACCAAGTTGAGTATCTTAAAGGAAGTAGTATTTCAAATGCATAGCTCTGCTTCCACCTGCAGCAATTTTGGCAAGAAAATTTATGGATTTAAGATTAATAATATTTTAGGAAGGGGAGGGGTTGTACACTTTTGGAAATGTTTATAAGTATGGATGACCCTCTAAGTTGACCGTATTATTCAACTTATTAATGCGCAAGACTCTCACCTTGACGCATTAATGTTGTATTCTTATATTATTGGTTCACTCACACCAGATTCAGATCAGATTAGCGTATAAGTCGGATTGCGTTCCGTCATATCCAAGCATGCCAATTCAGAAATTGGTTTGGTGCTTAATTCATAGTCCATTGTATAAACTATTTATTCTTTATCTATACACGCCCTATACATCGCCCACTTAATAAATGCATGCGTGTATACGTAAAGTACTGTTTATAACACGTAGCTGCATGACACGTAGCTGCATGCAATACTATATTACAGCTGTTTTGTTTCATTGCACGCTTCGTTATACTTATTTTTGTAATTTTCAGTAATGTATGGTCTACATGTATTGCACCGAATTGGAGTTGGCTGAATCTATCAAGTTCTTGATTTGAAAGCAGGATATACATAAAACGTGTGAAAAGAAATATTATGTACATCGGATAATTGTTCCAGTGGCGTTAGTTCAATCTTAATGCTATACAGTCCACAAAGATAATAAATGTTACATGAAGTGATTAATCACAGTACTAGTTACTGAAATGACTAGCTTTTGTAAAAGTTTGCATTATATACAACACTGGAGGAAGGAAGGTGTTGGGAATATGGCAGCATGGTTGACTGGCTATTGTATTTGTAATTTGTAATGTGTAATTGTATTGTGTTTGTAAATGTATTGTTCTGTACTGTGTAGGCGTAATGCAAATCAGGCTCTATATAAGCCCGAGTCTAATAAACAAGTGTAGATATATTTTGTGATGTGATATTTTGGAAGAATTATATGTGTTTTTTGAGACGACTGTTTTTCGATTGATCGATAGAATATCGCGGCGGAACGCGACATTTGGCGACCCCGCCAGGACTCAGTTGAGTTATATTTTACTTGGCTGAAAGATGCCCTTGACTCGAGCACAAGCTGCTCAGGAAGAAACAAACGGCAATGCAGAAGAACAACAGCATAAAGAACCGGAGCTCGAACAAGTTCGCTCGCCGTTCGAAACAGAGTTGTTGACTACAGTACAAGAACAGCGAGACCTTTTAAAAGAATATAAAGACCAACAGGACGGCAGAGTTTTCGAAGTGGTCAACATTCTAAACGATGCAATACAAAACCTATCAAACGAATTTGCTCGTGTTTGCGATAAGAACAGACAACTGGAGACTGTTGTTTTTCAATTACGCGATCGTGTGGAATCACTCGAATCTGAAGTCAAATCAAGCCAAGAGATTTTGGAGAAAACTAATGCTGGAGTTTTCGCTTCCTTGCATCGAATGATTAAAAGCGAGCTTCGAGAAGAGTTTGAATCGGTTTTGTCGGCGCGTGTAAAGACGGAAGAGACGGCAAATAAAGGCTTAACCAACGTGTTAAGCGGGGCGGGACGAAGTCAGCTCGGTAAAGAAAAACAACCAGCAGAGTGCAACGTTACAACGGCTCGTGGGACAGATTATTCTGCTGGTCGCCTGGTTCAAAAACCTGCAGTATTTGATGGACGTAGTTCGTGGGAGGCATACGCGACACAGTTTGAAATTGTGGCGGAGATTAACCAGTGGGACGGTCCGGATAAAGCCGCCTTTCTGGCAACAAGTCTTAGAGGTCCAGCGCTCACGGTCTTATCAAATTTGCCGTCGGAAAGTCGTGTTCATTACCCATCATTACTGGCTGCGTTAGAAAGCCGTTTTGGAAATAAGAGGCAGTCTGAGCTGCATAGAATGAAGCTACGAAATCGTGTCAGACGTCGAGATGAAACTTTACCGGAGTTGGCAGAAGACATCGAAAGACTTGCGCGTCTTGCGTACCCTGAAGCCCCTACTGAAGTTCTAGAAACTTTAACGAAAGATCAGTTCATCGATGCTTTGAACGATGATGAAATGCGTTTAAGAGTCGCTCAAGCTAGACCTACAACTCTTAGAGCCGCGCTCGGAATCGCTTTGGAAATTGAATCGTTCAGCTTGGCCGCACGAAGAAGATTTAGGCCAGTGAGAACAGTGCATGAAACTCCAACTAAAACGAACGCGGAATGTTTTGTGGACCCCCAAGAGGAAACGTTGAAAAGGAATAGCGAGTTTTTAACGGAGTTGAAGAAAATGATGTCGGAGCTTCGTGAAGTAGTGAGAAGCGTGAATCGAAGAGGAAGAAATCAAGATGGATCACCGCCGAAAGGAAAAAGAAAGTGTTGGACATGTGGTTCGGAAGATCATCTCCAACAGGATTGTCGGTTGTACAACGCCGAGAAGAAGCGTACTGAGTCGGAAAACGAGCAAGAGTCGGGTCAAAGGGGTGGGGCCCGACGGTAAGAGAAGACACCCCACGGAATCAGTCGAAGGGACAGAGGCTTGTACAAAGAAAAGATGGTCTTTGTGTGGAAGGGAAGCTCGAAGGCAAAGTGATGCAGATGATTGTAGACACTGGAAGTAACATCTCAATTGTTACCCCGCAACTGTTACGGAACCTTGCGAAAGATTTGTCGTGTGTACAACCTGTTCCAACTGTTTAAAATCTGTAACTGGGGAAAAATTGAATCTGTTGGGGACCATTACCCTTAAATTTGCAATTGGCAACCGAGAACTTTTACAGTCGTTTTACGTGGCAGACATCAGTGAATCGTGTATTTTGGGTTTGGACTTTCTGCAGCAACAACGGTGTCAACTCAACATTAAGGATGGAATATTATCGATGGGAAATGTTCAAGTTCCTCTTTTGCATCCTTTGACGGACGATTTGAACATGCTTTGTTATCGTGTGATAGCTCTTGAAGATATCAATATTCAACCACATACCGAGGCTGTCATTCCTGCGAAAGTGGTTGATTACACTGGCAAGAATGGGTGGGGAATTATTGAACCCACTGACGAGGAATCCATTCCTGGAGTCTTCATTGGTAAAGTTTTGACGAAATTAACAAACGAAACCACAGTAGTTCCAATACGAATGGTTAACGTGACGGAGGAAAAGCGTAAAGTTTTAGCTGGAACTGACCTGGCAAAATGTGAGACAGTGAGCTTCGTTGTT